AACTCCAAAAAACTCCAAGGACCAAAATGTCACAAATGAAATATCAAGGAAAGGATTCGAATATACCTGAAATCTAGGATGTTACACCATGGGAATGTACTTTACTGAAGACCGAAGTGCATTTAGTTGGCCAATGAGTATGTAATCCATACAACTGCAGCACACAAATGAAAGGAAAACAACTCCAGTCCTTTGGGCCAGCCATGAAAAGTACTGAATTTCAAATAGGAATCTATAGAGAATTCCCTTAACCCGCTAGACTGGAAGAGAAGTTCCGCACAATATTGTTGTTGCTCCAAAGAATTTCAGAATGTTGATACATGCAAAGCAAGATATATGCAATATGAATTATTTTGAAATAATAGTAATCGTATAACTAAACATCGTAAATATAAATGGGTATGTACCTTAATGCTTGAAAACTGGAAATCAAAAAATTCGAGCGATCACGAACTTCTTTGTCACAAAATATGCAGCACGAAATAAGCCCGAAGCATATTAACAAAGCCATAAATGACACTACATTCTGAAGAATTGAACTCATGATGTTCAGCTTGTAATAAGTTGATCTAATTGGGTTAGAACTCTAACATCAGCTGTAAAAAGTCATGTTCAAATATATATATATATATATATATATATATATATATATATATATATATATATATATATATATATATATATATATATATATATATATAACCATAGTCAACGAGTGAATCTTGTAAAACCTAGGGATGAAGGAACTCATGCTTTTTATTTTCTTTAATTATTACCTTTAGGAAATCTCTTTTATTAATCGTTTAAAAAATGTCGTAAGTATTTATGGTTTTTATATGGGGTTTTTTGGAACTGAAATTGAGTTGTTCAAAAAAAAATTAGAGTTTCTGTAACTTAAAAAAAATCAAATGTAAAAGAAACGTTGGAACACCCATAAAACCGAACCCAAAAATTTCGTTTTTAATTATTACAAAACCATAGGTACCAATTATTTCATCAAAATATAAGTCAAATATCCAAAACATCATAATCAGTGTATCATGTAAAACAAATATCAAAAATATCAGAGTAATCATCCTAGGCTAAAATATCATGGTGTGTGCAATGCATTTATCCTGAGATCTTCCCCTTGCTAACAGAAGTACCTGAAACCAAAACTATAAACCGTAAGCACGAAGCTTAGTGAGTTCCTCATACTACCACATACTATACACATAACACATACCGTGGGACCCCGCCCTTCATTAGGCCCCGCTTGGCATTAGATTACTTTCGGCATCAGGCCCCACCCGACATCGGATAATGTCCGACATCAGGCCCTGCCCGGCATCAAACAAAGCTCGGTATACATATGAACATATCAACAGATACACATATAATAAACACATAATACAATCATACAGACACTTTTTCGAGCCCTACCCGACATCAGATTGGGATCAAGAAAGATATAAACATTCATCGGCTACCACCCGGCATCGGACTGAAAGATGGTAATATACACATATAAGCACATGCAAGAATCATGAAGACATCAAGCATACAAACATTCCTCGGGCATCGCCTGACATCGGATTGGGATCCGGAAAGCTTATAAACCTACATCGGGTAATTCTCGGCATCAGACTATAGTCTGGAAACCTACAATCATAAACATATATACAGGCCGACATTGGTTCCTTAGACCCGTTCACACAAGAGGAAACTCACCTCAATGTCGGATGTAAAACTGAACATCTCTGCTCTACAAATGGCTCTACTTAAAACTCGTGAACATAATAACCATGCCATACTCAGTCCAAGTCAAAGTCAAAGTTAACACTAAGGTGAAAGTCAACGTTCCAAGTTGACATAACTCGTCGAGTTACTCTTCAACTCGGCGAGTTGCTATACATCATAGGATTATGATTTCTCGATCCAAATCGTCGAGTCCTTCGCTATCGTAGAATCAGGACACATCTGGTAAACTCGTCGAGTTCTTCAGTGTTCATCAAACTGGGAAAAACCCAAGCCGAGTTGGATAGGCAACTCGTCGAGTTCTTCAAGTCTTAACGCATTCATTCATTTCTAAGCGAAACTTATGCCTCAAACCAAGGATCTAGACCCTAGGGATAGTTTGCTCATGTAAAGCTCTCATATTGACTCGCATGCATAACCTAATAGGGCTTAAAAAGACCAAAATATGGTCTACAAACTGCATCGGACTTCCATGGCCATAAAGTTGGCACCTTTATGCCATGGAAACCCTTCTACACCTTAAATCTGAAGTATAAACTCATTTGGGGTGTCCAACTCCCAAGGAACATGAAACTTGGATCCAAATCAATCAAAATAGCACCAAAAGAAGATCTAAACAATTACAAGGAAAGGTTCAGACTTAGTACCAGCAAAATGTCGAGGTTAAAGCTAGGATTCCAGATATACAAACTTCTTCTTGTGTCCTCAAGCTTTTCCTTCTTCCAATGGCTTTAAAGCACCCACTAAAACACTTAGAATGGCTCACAAATAGTCACAATGGAATTAGGGTTTCGGAACTGAAGGTTTGGAAAATGGAGGCTGAAAACCCTAGAGTTGGTGCAAAACCCCGAGATTAGGGTTTCACATCTGTCAGCCTACTCGTCGAGTTGAGACTACCAACTCGTCGAGTAGGTTTCTTAAAACCCGCGACTCAAGCAATCTCTACTCGATAAGTTTGGGGCTACCAACTCGTCGACTTGATCTAAGAAACGCAGTTATTCAGTCGAAAATTACCTACGGATTACCAACGAACTCACTCTTCCCTCACTATTCCATTGGTAATTTCTACTCGACGGATTATTTTTATTTTCGACAATTTGGGCAACGAACGTCCTTTTTGTCACTTCGTATTTTTGCATCTCTATTATACATATCTATACTTTACACAACTTATGCCTGATACCTAGATGTTTATAGTGGTGTGCTCATTTTGATCCGTTACTCCTTTCACACTTTAACATTACAATTACATTCACATATGTACATATACATACATACACATACACAATTACAAATACATTCACATATACCTATAGACACATACATTCATAAAGGTTGGTCAATGTGTGTATGTTTAAATGTATGTATGTATGTAGGAATGTATGTGTGTGTATTTATGTGTGTGTATGTGAATCTATGTGTATGTGTCCTTGTGTGTCTATGATTTTATGTATCTATGGGTATATATGAATGTATGTGTAAATGTGTATGTGTATGTGTTTGTGTATGTATGTATATTTACATATGTCAATGTGATTGGAATTTTAAAGTGTGAAAGGAGTAACGGATCAAAATGAGCATGTCACTATAAACGTCTAGGTATCAAGTATAAGTTGGGAAATATATAGATAATCATGTATAATAGAGGTGCGAAAAAAACGATGTGTGGTGCCCAAAATGTCGAAAATAATAAAAAAATCTGTAAGTAATCCGTCGAAAATTACCGATGGAAATGGCATTCCGTCTATATTCCGTTGGTAATTTCCGATGGATCACCTTTGGATTTTTTTTATTTTCGACATTCGGGCACCGATGGTCGTTCTTTTTCGCTTCGTTTTTTTTTTTCGCACCTCTATTATACATGATTATCTATACTTTGAACAAGTTATACTTGCTATCTATATGTGTAGATCCATTTGCACCTTTCGAACTGTTACTCATTTCATACTTTAACATTACAATCAAAACTTTTACCCCCACACACGTACACATACATACACACATACACATACATATTTATACACACACACACACACATATATATATATATATATATATATATATATATATAGAGAGAGAGAGAGAGAGAGAGAGAGAGACATTTCATTATTTAAGATCGTAATGTCTATTAATACATTCACATACTTCCATAATCATACATAGACTTACATACATATACACATATACATACATATATATACATATACAGGTTGGTAGTGTTGAAGGATTGCCATGGTGGTTTGAGATATGTGGTTGGTAGTAGTGGAAGGAATGATTGTCATGGGTGCTAGTTGATGACTAAACATTACAACTTTGACAAATGATTTCAATAATTTAGTACAGATTTGGGAAAATATAAATAATCATATGTGAAAAAACGAAACCAAACAACAACAACAATAATAATAATAATAATAATAATAATAATAATAAAATATAATAATAAGATATAATAATGACAATGATAATAATTATTATAATAAAATAGAATAATTATAATAATAAGATATAATAATAATAGTAATAATGAAATATAGTAATAAGATATAATGATGACGATGATGTTGATAATTATAATAATAATAATATTAATAATAATAATAAAAGCAAAATCGATAGTGTATAAAATAAAGAGTGGAGGGTGATTTTCGAATGTGACATGTCCGGCCGTTTGGTATGTATTTTGGTTGTTTCCACGAGTAAATCGAGTTTGAATCCTCCCTCCATGTTTTTTCTTTTTTGCTTTTTTATTTTTAATGTTTAGCGACGGATTTGTGACGGAAACTAAATAAATTAATCATTTCATTCTGTTGGCATTGTGATGGAATTCCGTAACAATCTCGTCAGTAATTTAGGGCAACACTTTCTGTCGGAATTCTTTCTTTTTCAGACGGAATATTACGGAATATTACTGTAGGTTAATTTTGTAGGTATTTTGAGATTTTCTAACAGTGATTCTTTGGTGGAATAGTACTACGTTGTTGATAGATTTGAAATTACAGTACAAATCTCGTTATCCAGAACTTCAAAAATTGGATGTAGGGCTTGGAAGTTGGCTAAATATTTCTTTGTCCAGCCCTATGTTGGCTTTTTATTTTAATGCATTCTTGCCGTTCCAAATATTTCTTTAACGTTATCAAATCTCTAGAAATACTCATCAACACAACTCTCAACGTGGATCACATGCCATATATATGATACTATCCAACACTGCCATGATTACCGCTTGCTTTTACCTGTACCCAATTTATTTAATCACTGCTGATATGTTAATTAGTCATACTATATACAATTATTATCACGCACATGAGAATTATCGGTGGGGAGCTGGCCATTTCCAGATCTTCATTTATGCCTTTTTTGGTTTATAAGTATGTTTCCAATATCCATAATCGTATTCAAAATCTTGAGCGATGAACACTCAAGACGAAGTAGGTGGCAACGCCGATTCAATGGTGGCAGGTCAGGCACAGATATTGCGCTACATATATGGTGCTCTCGATGGTATGGCTATAAGATGTTGTGTTCAGCTTCGTATCCCTGACATAATTCACAACCATGGCCACCCTATCACGTTGTCTGAAATTGCCAATGGTATAGCCTCTCCATGCATAAACCTAGATGGGCTTCGACGACTAATGAGGTTCTTGGTTCATCGAAAGATTTTCCATGAAATGTCCCAACCAAATGTCGGAGATGAAGAGGGAGAAAATGAAACTGTTTACTCCCTGAACCATTGTTCCAAGTGGTTGTTACGTGATGCTGATGTGACATTAGCACCGATGGTCATGATGCGAACAGATCCATCTATGGTTTTGCCTTTGCATGTGTTGAGTCGGTCGATCACAGAAGGTGGCACGGCGTTTAAGATGATCCATGGTGAAGAAATGTTTGAGTTTTCGTCGAGTAACTCGGATTTCAATAGGGTTTTTAACGAGGGTATGGCATGCACTGCTAAGATCACAATAAATGCGATCTTGGCCAGTTACAAAAATGGATTTCTTGGGACGAAAGGAAGCGTTGTAGATGTTGGCGGTGGAACTGGGGTGGCGATATCTGAGATTGTGAAGGCATATCCACATCTGAAAGGGATCAACTTTGATTTGCCGCATGTTATTTCGATGGCACCAAGATATGATGGAGTTACACATATTGGTGGGGACATGTTTGAGGCCATTCCTCCTGCAGAAACGATCTTCATGAAGGTAAGCTTTGTTGTTCCTCAAGTTATATTGGTTTCTTTGATGACAACTTCTATTAAAATTATAATTAGATTAACTCCACAAATTAATTGTGAAATATATATATATATATATATATATATATATATATATATATATATATATATATATATATATATATATATATATATATATATATATATATATATATATAAGAGAGAGAGAGAGAGAGAGAGAGAGAGAGAGAGAGAGAACTTAGTCCCTCCTAAAAAAAAGGATAATGGTAAGAGATATCAACCTATTTTTATAAATACATTGATTATAGCATTCTTATATATCATTCAATGATAGGAGTAATGATATTTATCTTTGCATTTTAGTGGATTTTGCATGATTGGAGCGATGATGATTGTATTAAAATCCTTAAGAATTGTCGGAAAGCGATACCCAAAGAATCTGGAAAAATGGTTATCGCGGAGATTGTTAATCATGCTACAGGAGATGATGTTTTTGTTGATACACACCTAACATATGATTTAGTGATGTTTTCACATTTTTCTGGTGGAAGAGAACGGAATGAAAGCGAATGGAAGAGAATACTCAATGAAGGAGGGTTTCATCGTTACAATATTATCAAGATTCCGACCCTTCAATCGATCATCGAGGCTTTCCCAGAATGAATTTGTAAAAAAGCATTAGGTTTGGTGATTCTTTTGATGTGAATCATACCGATTGAAAGAACTGAGATTTGAAGAATTATACTATATCATGAGTTTCGCGTACAATAATGGAATAAAATTATGAGAAAGAATTAGAACCTTAAAAATTCATGAGTTTGATGTTCAACAATGGAATAAAGTTATGAGAATTGAATAATTTTATACTATCAATAATGATGAAAAAATGTTATTTTGTTTATTTATATTAGTAATGAAGGAAATTTGATCTTTTGAAAAAAAAAATATGATTTCATTCCACTATAAAATCAATCAAATATAAAATAATAAAATTTCATTGAGTTTAATTAGTTTATTTTATTTTTTTAAACGAAAAACTAACATGCTCATCTATCTCTCCTAGTGAGAGTTGAACAATTACTGGGAATATTTTCAAGTGTGAATCAATATCAAATTCTATATCCTAGGTCAAGTGGAGAGCCAGTTCTGATTGTGGTATGAGTTGGAGTTTATACCAATTATAATGTTCAATGTTCGGTTGTATTGTAATCAAGAAGGCAAATGTTGAGGATTATAACATTCTTATAAATCACTCTACGATACGAGTAATTATATTTATCTTTTACATTTTTGTGGATTTTGCATGATTGGAGCGATGATGGTTGTATTTAATCCTTAAAAATTGTCGGAAAGTGTTACCTAAAGAATATGGAAAAGTCGTTATCACGGAAATTGTCATCTACAGGAAATGATCCTTTTGTTGATACACACCTAACATATGACTTAGTGACGATTTCACATTTTTCTAGTGGAAGAGAAGGGAATGAAAGTGAATGGAAGAGAATGAATTCAAGGTTGCCAGCCTTCAATTGATCATCACGGCTTTCCCATAATAAATTAGTAAGAAAGCATTAGACTTATTTTTTAGAGTAAATTACTGAAATCGTTCTTATGGTTTGGTTAAAATTGCATGATTGGTCCCTAATTTTTCTTTTGCACTCGGATGATCCCTGTGGTTTGATTTTGTTGCGTTTTTCGACCCTTACATACATAAAAATAGGGACCAAACATGCAATTTTGACTAAATCATAGGGACGAAAAACGCAATAAAATCAAACCATAGGAACAATCCGAGTCAGAAATAAAAGTTAAGGACCAAAAATGCAATTTTGACCAAACCATAGGGACGATTTCAGTAATTTACTCTATTTTTTAAGTGTAGTACCGGTTGAAAGAATTGGAATTTAAAGAATTATACTATATCATGAGTTTGTTGCACAATAACGGGATAAAATTATGAGAAAGAATTCATGAGTTTGATGTGCAATAATGGAATAAAATTATGAGATAATTTTATACTTTCAATAATGAAAAACTTTTATCTTGTCTATTAATATTAGTAATGGAGGAAATTTGATAATTTGCAAAAAATATATATAACAAAAATATGATTTCATTCCACCATCATAAAAATGATAAAATCAATCAAATATAAAATTTAAAAGAATCTAATTTCATTGAGCTTAATTACCTTTGTTTTTGTATTATTATTTTATTTATTTATTTATTTATTTTGAAACGAACTAACGTATTCATAAATAGCATCTATGTCTCCTAGTGAGACTTGAATCCATGACATTTCATTTGAAAGAGTCACTCATTACGACTAGACTAAAAACCTTTTGCTAATTAGTTCATCTAACGGCTAAATAGAATGTTGAGAGAAGAACTTAAGATTGATTTACGGAAACGTAAGTTCATCTCAATGGATCTTATTATAAGCTCAACAATAAAGAAATATGCATAATGATCTATATATATATATATATATATATATATATATATATATATATATATATATATATATATATATATATATATATATATATATATATATATATATAGAGAGAGAGAGAGAGAGAGAATGTTGAGAGAAGAACTTAAGATTGATTTATGGAAACATAAGTCAATCTCAATGGATCTTATGATAAGCTCAACAATAAAGAAGTATATATATATATATATATATATATATATATATATATATATATATATATATATATATATATATATATATATATATATATATAGCAACAAGATTAATCAATAAACATAAGCTATTAATAATACTTAGTTGAATCTTAACAATGTTTGCATTCAAACACAAGTTAATAAATGATTAAGAACATAAGCAAGACATAATGAAGAATTGTATTCAATAAAGATTAATACAATGAAAGTCTGGAAGTGGTGTGTTTAGATCAATCATCATAGTCATTTATTTATAAGAAAACCGAGTACATGATAAACAACAAAATATATCTAAATCAGGTGGCCATGATTGCCACGCCTGGACTGACATAACTCATCTAACACACAATGTCAGAAAAGGTGAACATTACTTTTTTGACATTTTGACATACAAAAGACAAAACATGCTTTACTTTGGGTCAACAGTCTTCGCTCCGGTATTCCAAGTCTTTAGTGTTGATATTCACAATATTCGCATCAGATACTCAACCAAAGTTCTACCACAATAATCAAAACATGTCTTTGGTACTTCAACACACTTTATAGTTGTCGAGGGTCACTTTCATGTTTCAACAATTTCCCCCCTAAGTGACCTCGCAACTATCACTTTCACTTCTTAACTTTGAGAAACTTAATAATGAGTCACCATAACTTCCTAAGTTCAACAATCCATTTGATTCTTCTAGAGATTTCTAATTTCACCTCTTTAGTGGTGCCTTGGACTTTTGAGCCATTGAAAGAGTTCCTTCCATGTGTTTAGGAGAGCAATGATGAAAATCAGTGGCTGGGGGGGGGGGGGGGGGGAGAATTTTTCACTATATTTGGAATGCCTGAAAACAATACCAAGCTTGGGGAAGTTTGTTTCTCCGAGGCTTAAGTCTTGAATCCCTTTGGTAATATATTTAAGGTGTTCAATTGGAGGGAAGTTCATATTCTCTGCAAGTACTGAATGGATCTCAACATCATTTTTTCCAAAGTCACATATAACGACTTTGAGGAAGTCAGCAGCCTTGATATATGCATCTTCCATCTTAGGGTATTTTTGAGCTTAGAGTTGGAAGATCCTTGTAATTAGAAAAAAATTGTTTGGGATTCATGTACATGAAGTCTGCTTGAGTTCGATGGTATAATTTACCGAATCATAAAAGAGTGCATTGATAATGTGTTTCTCCTTTGAAATACCTTGGGTTGAATGTGTTAATAGTATCGTGTATGTCACATGACCAGATTTCCTCTATCGTTTTCCCATACTTGTTGTGAAACAAGTTTAATCTTTCAAACTCCATGAGCATTCTTTGATCATCTAGGATATTCTGGTCAAATGACATAAATACTAGGAAGTATTTAGCATTAGGAGAGAGAGAGATATATATATATATATATATATATGAATGTCCCAGTATGCTCCAGTGGGTTTAGAGTAGGTGAGACGAGGAACATAATCTATATCCAAGAGTCTTCACATTGGGTTTACCCAAGAATTGATTACAGATTCATCGATTCTCATATCGAATCCCTGAGTTTGACATATGTATTCGACTAGCTTGGCTGACCTCCAGTTTGCCTTCTTTTGTCTTGTTTTGGAAGATTTGAAGGAGTTGTCATTTGACATGTAAAGTGTAACACCTAGATTTTAGGTATTTGTTTTAACACTTGAGTTATGTTTATTTTGCAAGTTTAGTCCCTGGTGGCAATGTTGTAAATTGAAGACTTTTGGAGTAAGACGGGCGTACATCCTCGTACGCAAGGCATAGTTGGGAGCGCCTTCGTACACTGAGCGTCTGCAGGGCGTGTGCAGTCTGGGTGAAAACCTAAATTTTAGGGTTTGGACCATATTTAAGGTCACTTATGGCCTCAAGTACCTTTTTACCTTCAACCTCCCTCCTTATCTCGAAAACCCTAAGAGTGTTTGTGCTTGTGAAGCTTGTTTGGGCCATTTTGGTGCATTTTTGGAGCTCTTAGAAGGAAGAAAATTGAAATGGTGGTGTTATACTCAAGGCTTTGGATCTAGCATTTAGTCCCCCTTATGCACCTACTGGAGGTAAAAAGTTTCAAACTTGATGATAGAATCTCTTGGATCTAATTTTGCTCAATTTGTTTCCTTTTTTTATGTCACACCCCCGAACCAGACGGCGGAAACGTCCGGGGGCTGTCGTGACTCAATTGAATACCATCACAATGAATATACATGAAACATAACATTATACATCACCAACATTTGGAATGATACAACTGGTAGCGTTTACATCCATTACATTGTTCCAAAACATTACTTTCTCAAAAATAACTGTTCGATACAAAATTAAACCACAGCAAAACGTCATAGAGTACAATTCATCCTTCACTTTATCTGTTACCTGAGAATACAAGTATTTTGAAAAACGTCAACATATGAAATGTTGGTGAGTTCATAAGTAATGTTTAAAATCCAATGTTTGTAATGTTTTGAAAAACCACCAGAAAATCCGATATTTTCTGAAAATAGTATAGTCAAAAAGGTGTGAAGATCCATAGGTATGCTTGTTTGTTTCTATACTTGTAAAAATTGTTCATTTAAAATTGTGTGCATTCCGAATCCGTATGTATTGAAATACCCTAGGAAAACCCGATGTTTTCCTAATTTTTTGAATTACATGAATGTACATTGAAACAATTGCAACGCGTGGAATTATCAGTACCAGGCGACGTTGGATTATTTTTGAGCATGATTATTTGCTACAAACAGACGTTACACAAACGACTAGTCTATAGCAATACTAACGATCCCGTAGGCGTCGTCCGTACTAATCACGTTATCCAACCGCCCTGACTACGTGTAGTCCCACACCCGAAGAGAACGAGGACACAAAGGCCTAGATGACTCCATTAGCCGGTTGGGGATAAAAAGGTACGAGGGGTCCCAGACCCGCCTCGCATGAAAAGGTAGACTCTACTAGCAATACCAAAGGACCCTTGGGGACCAGTAGTATACAAGCCATTGAAAGTCCTTTTACGTTATGTCGGATCGGTAAAACCCAACACTTCGTAAGATAGAGGTCTTCGGGCCTTAAGATCAGGTCATTGGGCTAGCTAGGCTCAACAAACAAGATTTTACACTTTTGGGGCCCAAAGATGGTGCGTAGACGTCTGTGCACACTCGCATGTATATTGAATTCCCA